TGTACTGACAGAAAACACTGCAGGTGTGGCCCACACGAGTCATGCCGCTGCTTGTACTGACAGCCCATCTGGGCACTGTCCACATAATGCTGGCACTCCTGACATGGAGAGAGAGCTGTGGGGCCAGACTGGCTTCCTGGCAAGATGTCCCTAAAGGGGCAGAAGATGAAGCTGTGGGAATGAAGCCCCAAGTGTAGTGGAGACCCAGAAAGTTGAAGATACCAGGAAAACCTGCTGAGGAGAGCTGCAGGCCAGGAATAGAGCCAGCAAAAGAGCCAGCCCATGGTGCTGTGAGGAAGGGGTCAGCCAACCCTCTGGAACTCACATGTTACCAGCACACGCGCTAGAAACTCATGGAGCTGTAAGGCTCCAAGTTTGCTCTGCTGGATTTCAGTTTTGCTTTGGTTTGATTCTTTCTAACCTCATAGTCCTCCTTTCAAGAATGGGAATAATTACCCTTTACAACCATACTTTGGGATTATGTAACTTTTTAAAAATTTTTACAAAGGTACACAGATAAGAGTTTGACTTGAGACTCAAAACAGGCTTGCACTTTTGAAAAATGCCAGAACCACTGAGACTTTGGAGAAGGGACTGTAGCATTTCCAGTTGTATTATGTGAGGCATAATTATGAAATTATAGATATCTTCTTTATTTGGAGTTTAAGTATGGTTAAGAGATGGGTTTGGGTTACAAGTTGACAAGGGATGGGGTGTGGTACGTAGGATGTGTGTGAACTTGAATTACCTTTCACATTCCCTTGGGGATTGGTAGGGCATGGACTGGGCTGTAGAGATGTGGCTGAGGGTCTGTGTCTGGTCCCTTGACCCTTCCTTTCTGGCACTGCTCCTAGTCTTTGTTTTCATGAATTAAGCAGCTTTGTTCACCATGCTTTTGGGCTATTCAATTTCCACCCAGAGCCAGCTGACAATGGATTGAACCCCCACCAAACTATGAGCAAAATTAAACCTCTCTTATTTTAAATTGTAGGTGTTGGGTAACATGTCCAGCTACAGAGAAGCTATTTATTATAAACAATGTTCAAGCCATATTATAAATACATTTTGGATTTTTAATTACATTCTGTGATCTTTACAGTTTCCTTAAGAAATTGGGTCCTTCTACATATTTATGTAAAATTCATATTACTTTTCAAGTCAGAAATAAGGAATTCACCATGAAGACAGTCCACCTGCACCATACAACTGTGCACATGTAGTAACAGGGTCTATATGACAATACACAGTAAATGCCCAGAGCAACAGAAGGCCACCACAGAAGTGACGGTGGCAGACAAGGCATCTGTCACTCACTGCTCGGCAGCAGCAGCAGCAGCAGCAGCACGAGAGGGCCACGCGGTGCTCACCTTTCAGAGCCACGGCCTTCATCTCTGAAGGCTCACTCTCATTGCGCTGCAACTTCCGCTTAGAGACAGATGACGACTTCCCCAAGTTGAAAAAGGAACGCCAGCTGCCCACAGGGGACTTTTTCATTTTATTTTGAGGCCTCTTTCTAGGAGAGAAAAAATGGACAATATTAAGACAGCCAAGCATCTATTTTTTCTTATAGAAAAAATGAATAAATGATAGAACCAAATAGCCGGTGAGGCCCGGGTGAAATATAAACAAACTTCCACCTTTCATACAGCACACTCTACAAAGGATGGCTAGAGCATGAGACGGACGCAACATGCAGATTTTAGCGCTGAGAACCAAGGCAGCTTTATGCATATTGTGTTTAGGTCCCATCGCATAATCTGCGAAATAGGTTGAGAGGAAGACATAACTGGGAATAGGAACTTAATATTAATGAAGCCTACAAAAATAAAAGTGTTAAAGAAACTGATTTTAGGTGTGAGTCAAGAGAATAAGGACAAAAAAGAAGTATTAATAATAACTAACATACATCAAATGCAAGCCTGTGCTCAGTACCGCGCCTTACATGTAGTGCCTTTTTTAAATTAGAAATAATCACACGTGGCAGGTACTATTATTCTCATTTTATGGCTGAAGGAATAAGAAGTTCAAAAAATTTCCTTGAACTTATAAAACTAGTAAATGATGGAATCAGGTTTGAAACTCAAGTTTATGTGTAACCTTATTTTTTTTTCTTTTTTTTATGTGAAACCTTATATCTACTTTTAAAATCATTTTTTCTAGGAAAAAGATTTTAAATAAATTATGGAGTTACAACGTAAAATCAAGATGCTCAGAGTATATTCCCTTTGCTTGTTTTTGCTATGGTGTTGAAAGGAAGTTAGAGGATTATACTAAAATATGGGTAAATGAAAGTTTATTAGTAAAATCTAATGCAGCAAAGATCCTTACATTCGGGGCTGGTGAGATGGCTCCGTGTCTAAAGCACCTACTTAGAACAAGCTTAGCAAAGCACAGGACCGCGGTTCAATCCCCCAGCACCACATGCCAGCCAGCCCCGCCCCCTGGTGGGCTGAGCTGGCCACACACACACACACACACACACACACACGCACGCACATAAATAAAATTAAAAAAAAAGATCCTTACATTCATGTGCAATACTCAAAGAAGTAGCAGAGACATAAAAAATAACATGTACATACATCAGTCTTCTAACTATAAACTAGTAAAGAAGACAAAGAAATGTTGTTCTTATCATTTCTTTAGGGAAATGACATGTCAGAGCTGACAGGGAAATTAAGAGGTCACACTACAGTTTCTGTACCCCTGAAAAGCTTGATGCAATATTAGCTGCTGGGACCATCCCAGAAGTTCTGATTCAGTAGGTGTGGGGTGGGCTGGAGGATTGGCACACTAAAAACTACCAGGCAATATGAGGCTGCAGTCAGCAACAGAGAGCAGAAGAAATGTCAAGTGAGTCAAGGTCCATGTATTACTTTCTGAATATGCTGTTTTAACATTGGTTATTTCTAAGAAAATTTCTAAATGAGATATATCAGGGAATATCAGCCTCATATAGTGAAAGTATATCATTTTTCCCTGTACAATGGGTTTTCTTTTACAAAATTAGGTGACACTGTAATGCTCTGCAAAAATAATTTTTATTATTCCCTATGAAGTGTTAAGCAACATCCTTATTCAAATAAATGAATTTTTCTTGTACTGGCCCACAATTTAATAACAAATAATAAAATATAAATTTAAAACCAAAATAGGGAGGGGGGAAGCTCAGTCACAGAGCATTTGCCTAGCACGCATGAGGCCTTGGACCAACTCCCAGCAACAGAGGGATTAAAGAAAACTAAAAGGCATTAATAACACATGGCTATGAAAGTCCTATTTTCACACCAGAAGTTTACCTTTCAAGTGGAAACTCAATTATGGTATGAAATTTCCCTTGAAGTGCAGCAGGTCCTTCGCCTACTTCAATATATTTATTTTCAGTCACAACTGGAGAATTGCCCTGAGCCTGCGTTCTTGCCTGGGCTTCCTCTAAAGTCAGAAGCTTGGTGGATGGAGAGGACACAAGCAGAGACTTGGGCCTGGATAAAGATGCTTCAAAAAGAAAAGAACAGTAATAAATGCTGTCAACTATATACAGATGTATATCAACCTGTCTGTCTTTCTACCTCTTAACCTATCAGTGTTGTTTCAAATTTCTTTACGTTTTTAAGTGGCAAAAATCAGTGTGTACACTGTGTAATAAAGTTACATAACATCATAATTTAAAGTAATTATTTTCTGAATACGCTGTTCCAACCGGAGTATTTCTAAACAAATTTTTAAATAACATGTCTCAGAAAAAAATAAATCCCATATAGTGAAAGCATATTATTTTCCCCTGTGGAATTCTCTGTACAATTACATGTGTGCATAATTCATTCATAATGTAACTATCTTTCTTTCTTAAAACATACCAGGAAAGCTGATTATTCAGGTATTTTTAGTTTTCAAAGGATCTTGTTTTCTCGTCCACATATACCTTAATATATATCAAGATACTGTGAAATTTTTTTCAATGTGTGATGAATTTAGATGACAATAAATCTGATATATAGCAACCGCTACGTGCACACAAAATAAAAAAATTGCCAAACTTTACATTGTGAAAGGCAAAAATAAATTGTCTATCTTCTACCAATGACATATTTTTTGAATCTAGATGAGAAATTAACCTTTTCCAAGTATAGAAACATGTTGGTAGCAAATGAAATCAGCCTGAGTCATACCTGCCCCTTCCTGCATGACCGCACTGATTTTGCCACTGAAGAGCACATCCACATGATTGAGGATGAACTCCACAACAACAGACTGAATTCTCACTTCCATGAAAGCTGCTGTTCCACTGAAGCAGGCAGACTCGATCTGTTTTGATCTGTGAGGTAAGCAACATTCCCAGTCACAAAATAAGCAGTCAGTCTTACACGGAATTTTTTTTAAAAAAGTATAAATCACAAGCAAATCAGGAAATTATACTTTTACAGCCCCTCAGGTAAGCCTTACTGGTCCGTTTTAGGGAGATTAGACTAATCAAGAGAAGAACTAAGGAACATTAATTAAGTACTTTTAGATTTAAAAGCAGAACTAAAATAATTAGCTCAATGAAGGCCATAAGTCAAATGCAAACTACCTGAGCAGGTTTGGAGCCCAGACGATTGCTAAGTTTTTTGCATGCATATTGGTGATGGAGCAATAGTCCGCTAGAAGAGACAAATGCCTCATCAGGAACTCCAGTGTTCTGGAAAATGAAACAGCATATTAGCAGAAAGATACATTCTGCAACTATGTAGAACATAAAGGCCACTTGTTGACTTACAAGTTTTCAATAGAAAAAAGAGGCCATACAAATCTATACATATTTTTGCTGCCTAAGTTTAAATATTAGAATTGAGTTCTTCACAAAGGCTTGTTTGTGGACCAAGTGATGTACGAAAGTTATGTTATGCTACTGGCAGCACAGAGCTAAGAAGAAAGGATTTAAATACTTCTATAAAAGAAAAAAGACAGCATGTCACAAACCTATGAAATGATTAAAAAGAAAATTCCAATGGGCTTTGAAGGGACAATATTTGAGCCACCAACGTATTTTTAGAATAAAGAGCCTCTTTCAAATTGTAGTAACTTTATCTTGTCCATTCAAAATAAGTTTATGTAAACAATTCCACATATACTGAGATAAATAACTGAGCAGTGCTTTTAAAAATAAAACATCATCATCTTAAACGTAAGTTAAAGCAGCCACAAATACACATACTTTACCTGCCAGCTGCATGTGTCACTGTCCCTACCTAACTGTACAGGGACTAAAACTGCTAAGAACAAGAAATAAGAGACCTAAATAGAACAGTCATCAATGTTAAATTGTGGCCTACGTGTGAGCCACAATGGGTCAGATGGATCTAACCTTAATTTGAGAGGAAGAGGAAGACAGCAGCTGGCCTACACAGCATGCCGTTAGGAAGAGCCTCACCAAAGCTCCATAGGAGGTGAACTACCTTCCTGACAGGAAGGGACAGTCAAGGCCTGCAGTGATTACAGACAAGCAGTGGTAGGTCGGCTGGGACATAAATCCAGGCCAGCCTGACTCCAAAGTGCCTGCTCCTACAGTAGCGTCTACTGCGGCAAACCTGTGGGGAAATTAGTGCGGTCTAACCCTCCCTCATCCATAGGAAAGACAGACTGGCAGGTACAAGTGAGGCAGGCCTGGGGAGGGGCTGAGAAACGCATTCTGAAGACAGTGACATTTTATTATCAGGAGGGTGGATATTAAAGCACTTTAGAAATGTATTTTACAAGAATGAAAACTAAAACAGCCAAAGGAACCTATTTTGTTTGCTTAATTATAAAAATTTGTGAATGTCAGTATAGAATTTAATCAGGATTCCAAGAAGTGAGCACTTTGCATTCAGCAGGTGAGCGATGATTTGCATATCCCTCTGGGAACACACTTTGGGTGATCTTCTTTATGGAAAATAAAAATGTCAGATGTCAGTATCTTTTGGTTTCTAGAATTCTACTACCAGGTCCTTTACCTTATCCTAAAAATAATTCTAGGCTCTATGTAAAAGGATGGTCCTCGTAACTATGTTGAGAATCAGGGATAAAAAATCTACAGGTATAGTTGAAAAATACAAATTAGGGGAATATGAGAAAACACCATTGAAAATCACATTTTGAAAAAGATTTAATAATTAAGACATGTAAATGTTAAAATCTTAGCTAAATAGTGCATAAAATATATAAGCATATGCAATATACTATTGAGCATTTACTACTTTCATGGCTGCATTCTGAAACTACAGAGATAACAGAATATCAAAAAGTCTACATTCTAAAAAGGTTGCATACTAAATGGGTAATACAGTATAAATAAAAATATTGTCATATATAAGTTCAATATAGAATGAGTTCTCCTTACATCCAATTAATAAAGAAAATAATTATGAGACAAATATATAGACATATATGTATTTATTACTATTATTTTTCAGTTTCCATGAAAACTCAGTTGAATATTTTGCTAGGTTAAGATAAAAGTGAAATGGTCAAAAGAAGTAGATGCTCTTAGTGGTACATGCCTATAATCCAAGCACTCTGGGATGCTGAGGTAAGGATCCTAAATTCACGCCTGGCCTGGACAATTCAGGGATATCCTACCTCAACATTTTTAAGAAGTCTAGGGGACTAGGGAGATAGCTCAGTGGCCTAAGTGCTTGCCCTGAAAGTGCAAGGACTGAGTTCAATCCCCAGTACCAAAAAATAAAAAGATCAAAAATAAAAAAGAATTAAAAAGTCTGGGACTCACTCAGTGCAAAGGCCATGGGTTCAATACTCACTACTACAGAAACAAAGAAATAAACAAAGCAAGCAAGTTGCAAATAAATGAGAAAAAAAAACCACTGACAAAAAGAACAATTTGAAGTAGTGCAGAATGTAAAAATGTTAATAATCTTCTCCCAGTGAACAGACTGTATCTGTGGGGCAAGAATTACATGTTATAAAGTAGGAGCAGTCAGAAATGCAAAGAAGGGAGGAAACAAGTCTGCTCTAGGATATTATTTAACAAAAGAAGATCTGGAAAAGAATCCATGGGAAAAACTGAGAAAGAGAACACGAAAAAATAAAAAGTTCAGTAGTTAAATAATTACAGGAAGAGAGTAAAAGAGTAGAGTTTTAAACTGTAATGAGATCCACCAAAGAGACAGCATAAGACCAATTACCAGAACTGAACATCATGTGTTTCCGGAGAAAAAGCTCATTGAGTTCCAAAAGTGAAGAATGTAAACAAGTTACACCACGGTATGTGGCTGTAAAACATGATGATAAGTTTTAAGCAGACAAAACAAAACAAAATATAACCAAGATGTCATACAAGGCATGGTATCAGTTTGAGGTGCAACATTTTTTTTTGGTAGATAACAATGGTATAATACCATCACAACTATGGAGAAATTATTTACATACTAAGGTTATACAATTACCAATGAAATGCACAAATAGAATAGGCATATTTTCAGATACTTAAGTCTCAAAAAATTTAGTTGCCCTGTATTTCTCAGAAAGATATCAAGGATGTATGTTACAAAAGCAGGGAATAGGGGGCTTGTGGGTTAGCTCAGCTGTTAAACCCAGTCAGGCACAGAGGGACCATGGTTCGATCCCCAGATCCCCATGCCTTGCCAAACCCACCCTTAAGGCAGCCTGAGTCAGACCAAAAAAATAATCCTTCTCACAAAAGCAGGGAATAAAAACAGAGAAGAGGACAAGCAATCCAGAAAAAGAGTCTAACTCACAGAGGAGGCAACAGGAACTTCCAGGGAGCAGGAACAGGAATTACACTGAGCACTTCATTGTAGGTACAAGTATAACCAGACCGAACTGAAGCAAGGGGGACAAAAGATGATGAAAGATGCTTTTCAGGAAGGAAAAATGAAAATGTGAAAATGTTGCTTGCTATGTAAAAATGTGTGAGAACAGTAAAAAGACTTATTAAAGGACATCGGGATAAACTAAATACAAACGGAAACTCAATCATAAATAGAAGCCAAAGTGCTGTGCAAAAAACACAAAGTTTTCTCTGAAAGAATACATGTCCTTAGGCAGAGTTGTGAATAAAAGTTACACAGTTATTACAATGTAGACCATACATATTTACTTAATTCTAAATGCTTCTATACCTGGACTATGAAGAGGAGAGAACAGGAAGAGTACGAGAGATCCTCATTTACCAGGAGAAGAAGGGAACAACATCACAGAAGTGGGAAATCGAGAATGCAATGCAAAGTGGGTAAAGTATAATCCCAGATGAAAGAGTGGAGTGTACTGACTTCTGCAGGAGAGAAATGGGATATGGAGAGCAACTGTGGTGTCTGAGCATCGATTGCCCATGCCACTTGACTCTTCACACTGTGTACATACGTTATATGGATCATTTTTTAGTGTAGAAAAAAAAAGGACATATTTATATCATACTTCATGCAAAATCACTAACCCAAAGACTGCAGGTGTAGCTCGGTGGTAAAGTTTACTAGCACACCCAAGTTCCTGGCTTTGATATCTTTCAAAAAAAATGAAAGAAGGAATGAAGGAATGAATAAAATTACCAAGGCCATTGCTAAATCTATTTCTTTCTTGCTATGCTTCATTTAAGAAAAAGTAAGGACCAGGCCCATTCCCTTACTTTATCACTAAAAAAAAAAGACCTCTTCAGAAAGTATTGTCAGTATTCTGCTCAGACATGGAAAATGAAGCTTAAAGACTTGAGGAGTATGAGATAAGACTTGGAAATAACATAGCCATTTCTATCTGCCAAAGCCAATGTTCTTCACATTGTATTGTGTTTCTTTCACTGGGGAGTTGATAATGTCCTCTTCTCCCCTAAGATATACTTTGAATAATTGTTACTGATCAGCTTTGTTTTGACGCCTTCCTTTTCAGTACCACAACCCTTAATTTGAGCTTATCTCATAAAATCTTTCTAATTTTTCTTTGAGTTTTTCTTTCTCATTCTTTGCTGGATCCTTAAACTCCTTTAAATTCATCACATTCCTCCTAAGAGGCTACATTAATGGAACAATAAGCTGATGTTATCAATAATTTTTAAAATATCTTGCTTTTTTGTGTATTTTAATTTATGGTTTCTATTTTTTTTTTTTTTGTCTCAAATGGAAAAGTTATTCTCTTTTGTTCTGGTCTTCTCAGACATAAATGAAATATTTCTGAGGATCCAAACTGGTATACCAATCAACATGTACTTTAGAAAGTAGCACCGAGTGAATGATGGTCAGGGACAGAGTGCTTGCTTACCACGTGTGAGGCCTAGGATCAAATCCCCTGCACCACCAAAACACAAAACAAAGGCAGCAACAAAAAAACCAATAAACATCAAATCCTAAAACATAATACAAACAAAACCCCAAGCTCAGCCAGCCATTCATTTGTTCATCCATTCATCCATTCATTCAACATTTATCTATTGGGCATTAAGCACTGGGACAGGGCCTGGGGAGGTAAAGACAAACAAGTACAAATATATGTATGGGTAAAATTCACTCTGGAAGAGATGGGACTTAATTAGCTAGACCTTCACACAAGTATAAGTAGCTAGAAACCCAGAGAAAACACCCTCACAGGAGGGCTGACCACTGCCCCTGGAGGGGCTCCCAGCATGTGATCTACCTGTAGTGCGGCGGGGGGAGCTGCTGGATGACATCATGAATTTTTATCAGCCGTTCTTCATCTGTTGCTGCTGAAACAGCATCCTGTCACAATATAAAAGAAAAGAGCAGGCGTGTTGGTAAAAGTGAGTTTCTCACTTAAAATTCAGTTTTCATTCTGAGATTAACCCACTTTTCTCTCTGATGCTACATGAGAAGCACAACATAGCATCTAGACATACACTTCGTTTTCACAAGAGGCGAACACTGAATCTCCTCAATGCTAATTTTTAAAAGCACAATTGTAACTGTTAAGACAGCAGAGCTCCAGAGGAGACCTAGAGTAAAAAATAACAGGGACTCACAGAAAATTTCTCATACAGCTGGTAGGTGAGCAGAGGGTTTGGGAGCTCTCGGAAGTACAGCTTACAGAGGGAGCCCACAGAATGGATGTCTTGCACATACGGTTCTTTTGTCAAGTCGGGGACATGCTCAGAGTCAAATTCGTGGCTATTCCAGACAGAAAAAAGAAACAAGATAATTTTATTAAAGGAAAACATACATATGACCAGAAAGCAACATCCCAAAGTATTTATCTGTACCTCAGTGAGTTACTTTTTTCTTCAAATTACATTTCATGTCAATTCTATTTGGAGTTCATCAGTAATTGATATATTATCACTAGTTAGGTAGTTATATGGAAATTGAGGACATACTTTAATATTGAAAAACAACTAATCCTCTAGCCCAAAGGATTCATCTTTACCTCAGCTGTGAATTTGTTCAAATTATATTTCATTATAAATCAGATTTGGATTTCAGCAGTAATTGGACGTGTTATCATCAAGCAAGTATCTATATGAGGATTAATTGTACAGCTTTAAATGGACAATAATCCCTAAAATGTGTATGAATAAGTAGCTCTCACAGGGAATCAGCTTGAAGATAATACACCTAATTTCCAATGGTTTCAATATCTAATGTTCTGGCAACTGCGAGGACTATGGCCAAGTAGCAACTCATCCATGACCAACTACATACAAAAATTTCTCACAGTACAACTTGAACAGTTCAGGAATGTTACACTGAAGTAGAACAAGAAAACCAGAAATAATGTGAAGCAATTTCTAGCTAATGCTAAATTTTAATAGCAAAATCTGTAACATTACAGTATATGAAACATAAGGACCCAGAATACTAATGCAGATTAGATTCATTCTCCAGGAGATACATTAATATTAATTCACAGTGAGAAGGTCACTTATCATCTCTCTGGAGGATTAATGTGTGTGGATAATGTGAACATTCGCTTTTCCCAGACTGAAGCTAGCTTCAGTACAAGCAGCAACTTAAGGGCCAGAATGTACCCTTATAGTGGAGCGCTTGTCTACCACACACAAGATCCTGGATTTTTAAAACACAGGATTTTTTAAACATGTATTTCTGAAAAGAAAGTTAACCTTCACGGTCAACTGAAATATTACAATTCTTATAGAACAACGGTAGTTACCATGCATTACAGTGAAAAAGAGAAATGACAATAGCATATTGAGGATAAGACTAGAATCCAAGACAGGGAGCAACGAAAATAAAATTTCTATTGCCAGTAATGAGAACACTAGCATTCTCAAAGAAAGCATGTGGAATAATAGGTAACACACGCATACTTAGCTATACAATATAGTTAAGAACCAAAAAGTAAATCTATTACAATGTAAATTTCATCTCTCATGCTTGTCAAAAGTTCATACTGAATTTGCTACAATTTTCAAACATTTTAAAGAGATAAAACAGAAGTAGTGAAGAATAAGGTGTACGGTTCCCTACTACTGCATTGGGGCAAATGCCATTTAAAAAATAAACAGGAAGAATAATACGGATATTGTTTTCTATCTTATCTCAACTACCTTATTGAAAATTATGGTCATCAAAGTAAACTACACATTGTGAAACAGTTTCATTTTAATGAGCTACACAGGAATAAAATAGGAAATGGCACAGAAGATTTTCACCGTAGTCTCTGGATATTGGAGGCAACTCCCGAGAGACGATATATTCCATCCACAATGCCATATCTCTCAATGAATGCTGTGCAGCTCTGAAGAACCTGGGGCACTAAAGAGAAATTTTAAAGATGTCAATTCACTCAGTAGTACTCAGTAGAATTATAAGTAAATTTTGTAGATCAAAAAGGGATGGTAGGGCCAGCCAGGTAGCTCAGTGGGCTGAAGCACCTGTTTAGGCAGAGCGCAGTGGCTGGGGCTGGATCCCTGGGGTGCTTTGCTAGCCCTGCCCATGGGGTGTGCTGAGATGGCAATTGAGACTGGGTGTGGTGGCGCGCACCTGTAATCCCAGTGCTTGGGAGGCTGAAAACAGGAGAATCACTACGAGTCTGATCTACACAGTGAGAATCTGGACATTCTGTAGATCCTGTACTAAAAATACATTTAAAAATAATAAATAAATAAATAAATAAATAGGGGTTGGAGTGGGGGTGCTAGAGATAGGGCTCAGTGCCCTAGCGCCTACCTGCCAAGTGCAAGGTCCTGAGTTAAATTCCCTGTATCCCCCCAAAAAAGAATAAAGAAAATTAAAAAAGGACAGGTATCCACTAAAAATTGATGACGGCATGATTACTTATTTCACATCAAATCTATAGAAGTAGCTCCCGAACAGACTGGTCCCATTTCTTACATTGTTAGGACAGTATCTTACCTCCTATAGTCTTTGTCATGAAAGCACCAACATCGTCTTATACTAGTCAGGCAAACTGGTCGTTCCTAACACTGTGACTGTTTAAAATGTATCTGTTCAGCTCAATTTCACACCCAGTGAATGAGAATCTATAAAGTCAAATATTTATCTGAACAACAATTACTGGTAAGGGCTACAATGTTTCATTTCTAAAAAAAGAAATGAAAACTATCTGTCATAGTTAATGTTAATTCTAATTTTATTTAACAAATGAAGCACCAACACAATGCAAAGGTCAAAGAAATTTCCACTTGATGAATCTTCATTTTCTGTCCATCCTCACACTGAATTGACTGACATTTTAACTTGTCATTATCTCTTCATCACAATGGAGCTGCCCCGAGAGTAAGAAGGCCAGGAGGAAGTGCTCCTCCTCAGCTCAGTGAACGTACACAAAGGGACAGTTATTCTGAGGCCTTCTGTATGCAACATAATTTTTGAAATATATGATAGAAACTGTCTTATATGTTCAAAATTTTATAACTGTAGAGATAAGAACATTCTTCATGTTGTAATCCAGACTGGTCCACTTACCACAGTTATTTGGCTGCTAGTTTAAATCCCCGAAGAAATAATGCTTGAAAGGCTGTCACCTCTTTGAAGAGTTTTTATGTAGGTGTCAAACACTCCGGGGGCCAAATGAGACGCAAGATATTTTCCTAAGACAATTTTAACTAATGTACTTCATTACAGTGCATTTCTGTGCAATTTCTTTATTATTATTGTGAATCTTTTCCTCGGTTTTCTTGTTTTTTACTCCTGCAATCTTTCATCTGTTAGAGCCTATGAGTTATATTTAAAATTAAACTTTTTTATTTAAAGCCAAAACATGGCAGCTGACAGCACTTTACACTTCATGTAAGTTCAGGTAGGTGCTTTAAAACCGACATCACAGAAATCCTACGATAACGTTCTAGCCTGGTCCCGACTTTAACGAAAAGAAACTACATCTCTGAGACAAGAAGCTTTGTCCAAGAGCAGGCAACAGTGATGGAAACGAGACTCCAGCTTAAGCAGTCCGAGCACAGAGCCAAGCTTTAAGCTACTGTAGAATACTGCCCGACACAGAAGATCCTTCACAGTTTACACTTCATCATTTTACAACTCTAGGCCAACTGAAATCCCACTTTTTGTCTTACAAACTAGGTGTTCTATGATTCCTTCAAAAAGCAATATCCTCTATCCAATGTCCTTTATCTACCTCCTTAACCACAACATGTAGAAAACACTTTGCTGTTGTTTAAACCCAGCTAACTTGACTATTAATTCTTCTTTGAATATCTGCAAGTTAGGGGAGCTGCAGCACTGTGTTCTACTCCGTGCTCACAGAATTGTATCATTTAGAAGCACCATTTATTTGTTTTATGTCATTACCTCTTGTCCACCCTGAAGGGCAAAATCTAGGCTCCCTTCATCTCTGGACACTCAATACTCAGGAGCACTGATCTGACACAGACAACTCCAACTGAATTGTAATCAACAAGTGAATTAATTTACAGGTACCCAAGAGTTTGAAAAGTTATCTGATTAGGGTATTAGGACAGGGACCTGCCACAGTTTTCCTATGAAACTGCACTTATTTTCAACTGTGTGCTTTCCATCTGTAAAAACATTTTGGACTTTTAGTAACATGAACAGGATACGGCTACATAGTGGAGATGAAGGTAGGCAGAACTGTTAAGTGTGGCAGAACTTGTGGAGTGGCTTTCCTGAGACGTAATAGTGAGGCTTAAATGAAATGTTAAGTATAAAGCATCTTTATAAGAGACGGAATTCTATTTAAATTATCACTCCATCACTGATAACCTAAGGTCTTGTGCTTCTGTTCTGTAAACAAGAAATACAATAGTAAAATTAGAGGTTAAAAACTTCTGTCACCTATCTCAAAAGGAATATATTTAGAGATTACTGGGATCAATAACACAGTCACTTAAAAAATGAAAGGAATGTGAGACTTTATTTTCAGTGTTCTTTATTCAGGAGCTTTACTAATGCTTTTTTCTTTTTTTGTCAAATGGTTTTGAAACATATTAATGCTCATTTAGGAGCCTGAAATCTGGCTTACATAAGCACTTTGTATTAGTAGATTACTCCCTCAGAAGGGGATCCAGGAGTATTTTATTTTGTGAATTCTAAGGTATGGGAAGTGGGGCTCTGGCAATCTGGCTCTTCAGCACCCACACCACAGGCTGATGCTTCTCCTCTGGCTTACAGTGCAGTTACTAGGTACCACGTTTCATTCTGCAAAACTCTGCCTACATCTTCTCAGATTCTACGCTGCACCAGATTTTTGGATTAGCTTCTTAGCTCTGTTCTGCTGATGAGCAGGGCTTCAGTTTGCAGGACTGACAACCCCAGCCTCTCCCATCAACTTTCACTTCCACATCTGATTAAATTAATTGTATGTTATAAATTTAATTGCTTTTAAAAATGAAAGCTAACTCTGGTTGTGATGTATTTGGTGAGGCTTTATTTTTAAGTTACTTTCATTGTTTATACTCAAAATTAGCATGCTAACCCAACCCAAGCACATAAAAGACTGGTATTGGGAGAAATCTCTTCCAGCCCTGAGCTTTATTTCTGTATCACGCTCTCCTAAAACATAAAATTTTCATAAAAACAAGCTGAAACCTATAAAAATATTACTTTTACTAAATTCTTACATTCACTGAGTCAAATCTACTTATATTCTCCTGAATATTTTGAAGATACAGAAAATTAAAGATTTTTCCTCGGATATGACCAAACCCTTCAGACGCAATACTGACAGAGAACATCAGAATAGCTGCTTCCTCCTCCTCGTCTTGTTTGGTTTTACACTGACTAAGTGGTTTTAGTTATTTCTTTGTATTAGTACAGGCCTGAGTCCACAATGTGTCTATTCCTGGTGTCAAGGTGGTACATGTATGTAACACATGTTAATGCTTTTCTTCATTCCCTTCCTTTCCTCTCCCTTCCCACTCCCCCTCTATCTCTTGACCCCCTTCCCATTTGAGGAAGATCTATCATTTTGTGCTCCCTAAGTAAGGGTTAAATGTCTACCAAAAAATCACCTAGTGAGGTTTAATAAAACTGCATAATAACTGCTTATAATTTTAAGCAGGACAAATAGCTGGCAAAAAATGAAAGCAAAGCAAGCAAGCAAGCAAACAAACTAAAAAACCCTTAGCTCTAAAAGGAAGATTTGAAACTGAAAAATATGATAAAAAATACGATCAAAAATGAAAACAGATCGAGGGCTGGGGAGATGGCTCAGTAGAATAAGTGCTTGCCTGGCAAGCGCAAGGGCCTGAGTTTAATCCCTGGTTCAAAAAAAAAAAAAAAAAAAACAAAAAAAACAGATCTAATTTCCTTTTTCATTACCACGTAAAAGGCAATATAATGACTTGTTAAAAGGTACCCGATTAGTGCCCTCCTGTTTCCACAACCACCCAATGAACCAGTGAAATACAGATAACATGAGGACCCAGTGAAAATAATACCAGCAATGTCGAACATGGCATTTCATTAATACACTTTCTATTAACATTCTTAGTTTGGTTTTTTTCACATGATCCCATCACAATATGGTTATATGGAAATATCTACATTATTTAAATTAAAATGGGTGATTCCTAACATTAGAATTGAGGCCTTAAAGTGAGAAATAAATATCTCAAGACTTGAGTCCAGAGTATTCCTGACACTTTCGGTTTTGCTTCAGTCCTTTCCCCTTCCTTCACTCATTCAGTATCCACATACTTATTAACTCTCTTCTGTATGCCAGGCCCCAAGAAGGTATCACAAATACAGTCATTTGTGGGCTCCAGGAGAAAAATACAAGAATAAATGTCACTTAGAATGTGCATCCTGATTCTTGGTTTGACATACAGATGGGCATACTTTAAGGATAATTGCAGGGGTGATGTGGTCCTTTCTTTCTACTGTCCTCAGCCTGTAAAATCATAAGTGCATATAAGTTTAAAAAGATGATCTCTTGCTGAAAGGAACAAATACAACTTCAAAACACCAAAATACATCCAGAAGTTTCCTCTTCCTAGGGTTTAAAAGATTTTTATATTTTATACTATACATAATTTTATGTTTTCTTCAGAAATTTTCAGTATTTTATTACCAATCTCATTTCAAACTTTTAAGGAAATTCTGTTTTAAATATGCACAGCAAAAAAACAAGTTTTATAAAAAAGATCAGTGATACTCGAAGACTGTTCTACTCCATCAGATTTTATAATTAGTGAAAGTATAAACATTGAAGTTATACCTCATATAACTTTAAAAGAGGATATATTGGCATCTGTCCTCATCTTTTATTTTTTAATTTTTTATTGTATTTGATACAGGGGCTCACTACGCAGCTTGGA